AATGTTGATGATGATCATGATTATAATGATGATGGTGATGGCAGTGATGATGATAATGTTTTGGATGATCGATGAGTATTTGATAATGCTAATTAAAGGATCGATTTTTCAAATAACAAATAACAGTTCATTAGTGAATAAATAAATCAACAATACTAACAACCACTAACAGGTTGCTGACTTAACTAATTTGAAGTAAATTAATGATATTAACACTAATAATATTTAATGAATTCATTAATTTATTCTAAACATTTATAGATAAATGGGATAAATATTTAGTTTATTAAAAATTGATAAACTCTAAAAATAAACCGCAAAATTTGAGCATCATTTTTGTTGACATTTTTTGTTGTTTTTCTACAGCATTAAGTTAAATTTTATGTTATTGTTATTTTTCATTGCTCAGTACAATCAATTCATGGCAATCCCTGTTATTTTTCCATTCACAAACTTTGTTCTAACAGTAACTAGTGGCTGACCATACTCTAAGTGCTCTACATTCTTGTGAAATCTACTCTAGATCATCTCTTTAGTCCCTACATACATGTCTTCCCTAAGGAAAAGTGTACATGTAGTATGACCTTGTCATGGTATATTTATGTCCAGGAACTGTCCAAACTGGTGCAGCAAACTTTGATCATCATGCAGACTCATATCAATGGCCTTTTGCTAGGAGAGAAGCCACCATCAGGTAAGAAAAAACACAGGCTATTCTATTGTTGGTGAATATAAAACTTACTTATTGGAACCCTATAGCAAGTGACCGCAAAGGTATTTTGGGTATTATGCCGTTGACCCCAGTGTACTTTGCACTTTGCATAGATCTTGTAGCAAAGGAACCAGGAAAAAGACCATACCCATTTTACAACTGGTCTATTACAGGCCCGTCGCTAGGACACTGAAAGGGGAGGTTCGTTTTTCTACCAATCTATAGTTATGCCATTTGTTGATAAACATTTTGTTGCGTTATTGGATCTTATTGCATTTTTTCATATAGGGGGAGAGGGGGGTTCATTTGAACCATCAAACCCCAAGCAACAGGCCTGTACCACAGGTAGCTGACCAGTAGCCCAGTATAAGATTTTGTTGTTACAGTCATGGGAAATGACCATCCATCTTATCTTCCATGACTTGCGTATTTGTTTGAAGGTCAGAAATGGAATGATGTAATCATGGGTGAGATCCATGACTTCTCACGGGCTGCTGATGGACTAGCAAAAGAGATCTATTTAGGACTTGTCTTTGCTCAGCTCCAGGTTAGACTCAGTCATCACCTCATTCATACTAACCCTGCATAGCAGCTCAGGGGGGGACGAGGTGGGGAAAGGGACGAATTTGTCTTTGCACAGCTCCTACTCAAATACTCAGATATAATCTTAGTTATACTTTGTCTGTGTAGTGTGGCACATGGAGGGCTAGTGAGGGGACAGAGAGTGTGATAAGGGAGGGGCTAGGGACTCCCACGTTTTTGCTAATATTCACTAAACTAGTAACTCTCAGCTCCACTATCCACCCACCTTAAGTCTGCATACTAGTTTGCTATTTTTCCCGTACTGCTCGGGGTGCTCTGTTTTAATTTCTAGATTATTTAGTGATTGTAACTTGAAAAAAATATATTTTATTACTAATAATAAACATATATATTTTTCCTAATTGTCTTCAGGAGGATTCAAGACACATTGCATTACGTTACACAATCAAAAGGAGACATGATATTGTGTTTTCTCATGCTGTAAGTACTACTCATTTGATCTTAAGAAATCCCTGAATCTCTTCTGCATCAAATATTTATTGTCACGGGTTCGAATCCTGACTGGAGCTTGGAAAAAAAAAGTTTCGAAAAAAAAAGCTTTATGAAACCCAATTCACATCTTTAGTAACTTTACAAGCAACGAAACACCTTTAAAGAATTTTTATTTTCTTTGCTAAAAATTTGTTCAGTATCTTTGATTCATACTGATGACTGCTTTTACTACTTTTGTGTTTATAAGGTCACCGCTTTAATTGCCGGCTTTATCAGCAAGTTATACACCAACCTAGACAACCCTTCATTCTGGAAACAAATTATTCATATTGGATTCTTAGCCCAATTTGAAAGTTTGCTGAGCACCAATGGTACGTTACAGCTTTGGAGGGGAGGGGGAAGGGGGGAGGAGAGGAA